CCCCCGACTTCCTCCTCCACACGCGCAACCCGCACGATTCCCCGATCCCGATCCCCCCCCCTGCGCGATTTCCCCCCCATGTTCCTCCCCCATCATCATCATCATCATCAATCTACCCGTGCAAACCCCCGTTTTCAACCCTCCCTACCACGCTACCACCCAGTCAATCATAGATAGGATTGCTCCGCCCTCGTGTTACTTCAACACTCATTTATGCCTTTATTTATTTATGATTATTTTTATTATTTTCAGAATTCATTTGAAATTCTTGTAAATTCGAAAATTCTTAAGTAATTATCTTTTTCGACATTTCTTTTCCAAAAACATTTTTCTTTTTTGAAAATTTCAAAAATACATAGAATTAATAATTCTTTCTTGGTGCAAGGAAAATAAGCAACAGCGAGATGACAATTCCAGTACACACCATCTTATTGAAAGCCAGATAGTCACACTGTGTCCAGAGAGCAGCATTGCACCAATAATACACCAATGGAAGTTCGTAGCACTGAAAACCAATGTTCATGGAGAGCAAACTCTCTCCCCTCAACACAAGAGTCCGGTTCCTTCACACTCACACTTGGCGCTCAGCGCCCAGCCTGCTCTCACACAGCTACTAGAGACTACAAAAAGAGAATGCAACTGTTGACATCAGCGGCAGCCCGAAGTACTTGAAGATGTCGCCCATGCAGACCATCGCCAATACAAGGTAAGTGCCCTCACATCATCATCATCATCATTATCATCATCCTTCACCTATCCCCTGACGACACCCACACGTGTCCTCTCTTTCGCCCGAAGACCACCCCTGCGCTTCACTGTAGTCCAAGCCCACCAGCTATGGTGGCTGGGCTATGGCGCTGCCCTCAGCAGCGCCCTCCTCCTCTGCACGACCGCACGTGCTGCACCTCGCCTCTCAGCGCCAGCCAGCAGCCGCGAGCCTTTGCTCCAGCAGCGCTGCCGGTAGCGTGCGAGTGCCTGAATGAGGCTGCCTGGCCAGCTCTCGCAGCCTCGCTGTGCTGGCCTGGGCCCAGAAGCTTCCGGAAGGCCCCAGGAGGCTGCCTGGATGCAGCAGCTACTGGGCTGCTGGGCCTTGTTCGGTTGGACGCCCAACTGTCTCTGTATGAGGCTGCGAATCACGCCCAGGGCCTGCATTCTTTGGAAAGGCCCGGTAGGTCGTGGAAATGTCTTCGGTGCTCGGCCTGTGTTTCTTTCAACCAACTGGCGCGTCGCAACTGCCTGGACCCCGAATATGAAATTGACAGTCGAGGGCCTCTTGCAAAAAGCCGGGCCCACCTTCACTTAGGGCGGGTAAGGCTGCAAACAGGGCCCGATAGGCCTACTGAGGACCCTGATCTTCACATCGGCATTTCTTCCTCGAAATTTGAAATAATTTTAATTAATTCTTTTTCTAGGCTACCAGAGTGGCCCGCGCCCAGTTGCCCGGCCGGGCCAAAAAAAAAACAAGAAATAAAAATTGTTTTTGAACTTTATATTTTTTATTTTAAATTTGGTAAAGAATTTCGATATGACCCTGAGGCAAAAGTTGTTCTGATTACTATATTTTACCCTGTGCCGTGTTAGGTCAACTGCTGCTTCTCTTTGCTGGATATCGCCGCTTTAGGCGAATACTCCTAAGTGTTTAACAAGTTCTTTTGGTTTTGGTTTCTGTTCCTTCTCGCCTCAGTTACATGGTTGTGGCTTGACACAGCACGTTGGGCTTGTTCTCATTGGTCAGATCATGGTAACTGTGGTAACCCTAATTAGGAATTGTGTGGTGCATTATGATTTGGAATTGATCGCAACCCTAATTAGGAATTTCATTGCAGTATCCTTGTTGGGACAGGATTTTTGTGGTAACTTTGGCAACCCTAATTAGGAATTTCGTAGGGCATTATGACGTAGGAATTATTTGAAACCCTAATTAGGATTAGTTCGGTGCCTTTGTTTTGGTGTTCTTTAGAGAAAGTATTAATTAGGATTAGTTTGATGCGTTTGTTTTTGATGCTTCTTGACTGCGGGTTGCTGTGTGTTTAATTGGTATTTTTGGAAAGTCGGTGTCGAGAATTTGGTAGATTTTTTTCGTTGCGGATTTTTTAGGAATCGGGGATTTGGTAGTGTTTTCTCTTTTGAAGGACAGTGGTTTTCTACAGGGGAGGGGCTCCACCCGACGAAGCGGGATTGGAGACCTTGCAGCCCCTGAATTTGCAGCTCGTTGACATTGTATTTCTGCCTTGGGCATTGTAAAAGGGCCTTTACCCGATATAGGCCTCAGGCCTTGTAAAAATAGAGCAGCACGGGCCTTGTAAAAGTGAAGCATTGTGAAAAGGTATCTTGCCAGGGCTCAGAAACGTGAAAACAGGTCAAAAGTCAAGTTCTCTATCAACAGGCACATCGAAATCTAAGGCAAAGGGCATTATCAAAAGACTTACCTGTTCGCCAGGAGATGTGTATGTCATGTCTGTTCGAGTAAGGGTGTGTCTGTACGTGTAGGCAGTATACCTGTTCGTGCAATGGAAAGTGCCTGTTCAAGTAGTAAATGTGTCTGTTCGTTTAGAGTTGTGCCTGTCCGAAAGTGAAGTCAGTAGGCACAGTCCCAGTTCTGGTCTAAGTGAAGGGGTCAGTCCAGATCCAGACTTTCAAGTCCAAATCCAGGCCGAAGTGCCTCAGCAGCAGTTGAATCTCATTGGGACTGTACCGGGACACATGCAATGCAGGGTCTGGGACAAAGGGAGAGGCTGAATTGAGCCAATGCAGACCCAACGAGGAGTGGCCAGCACTACAAAAAGAGCTGCCTGCCTCATTCTTCGCCAGATCTCCACTGGCTGCAATGCGTGGAAGTGCTGGTGCACTTGTGCGCTGAGTCAGGAGGAGCAGCGCTGGAGGAGAAGACGCGCTGGAGGGAGGAAGATGCCTGTACGATGGAAGTGATGCAGCCATAGCTGCCCAGCGAGTTAGCATTAGTAGTAGAGGGTTAGTATGTAGCTATGAGTAGTATCCAGAGTAGATCCTCATGA